TACTGAACTGCCTTGCCGACTATGTATGTCTAACATAAGTCCAAAGCTTCCCTGACATCTACATTCCTCGTTATGTATTTGCAGCAATGAACCTAAAAGATCAGATTGTATGTTTACAAACTTCAGTGGTAAAATACTGGACAGATCCTGCATACACATGGACATAATTTAAATGCATGCCTCATCCTAGGAGCTGGTCCTCTTCTGCCACTCTTTACAGTCAGTAAAGACTCAGGGAGCCCTCCATTGTGCACACAGTGCTGTGCTGACAAACAAAAGAAGTAAAAGACACTGTCCCTACCCTCCAGGAGCTTACAGTTGAAGTACAAAGATGAAGTGTATTTTCTTATAAGTGAGAGGGACTATAGGAAATTAGAATACAGTCAGAATCTGTGGATAAGGATTGTGTACTTACACCCTAGAGAAAATATACTAACGGACTGTAGAAGTCAGGAAAGGCTCCCTAGTGGGTGTAGGACTGTGGTGGAGCCTTGGAGTCTGTGTGGGATGCAAACCGGAAGAGAAAAGGGATCCTAAGCAAAGAGAACAAGTGTGACATGCTGAGACTGAGGACCAGAATGAAGGGATAAAAACAAGCACGGTACACCCAAGGGATACTGAATAAGTAGGTCTTGTCAGAGCTGCAGATCCATCTGGGTGAGCACTGGGGGATGAGTCCTCAGAGCTGGTGACAAAAGGCATTTGTGCTGAACTAAAGAGTTTGGGCTTAATTTCCTACACGAGAGAGGACCGAGGGCTGTAATTATCCGTCTGGCAAAATCTTGTCTGTGATCTGATTTCCATAATGTTAAATCCTTGTGGGTGCAGCTTTTTGCCTCAGCTGATTCTTCATCATTATTAGGGAGAATATTTCAAAACATCTTATAAACTGAAGGAATGCAAAAGGAGAATAAGAAATTAGAAAAAATAAATGTATCAAGAAAGCAAGCTGCTTTAGGGTCTCAAAAATCTGCTTATTTTCATACATAACTTCATAGTGAGGCTATGTCTCTTGGTCACCATTCTCTGAGCTATGTCTTACGACCAATGTTTTTACCTTTCCTGAGGGGGGGAAAAACATCCCCCAAATGTTGTATTGCTGAACTCTTTAGCCGTGGAACGAACATCAGATTCTTCCCGTTCTCCCAAAACACAAAGTAGAAAGTCAAAGATATGGTGTCAAGCTCGTGATAGCTTACCATTTATTATTCCTTTGAGATCTTGGACGTATTAAACCACTCCAGCCCTCTGATCCCAAAGAAAGCGGGAGGCAACTCCTTCAAGGGAAAACAAATATGTTTCTGATTGTTCAGTTAATAACTAAAAATGCCACTTGGTGTTGGGTTCTCAGGTGGAGGGAAGAGAAACAGTCACCATTTGTTGGTCTTGTCTCTCCCACAGGTGGCTCCAGTGATTAAAGCCAGAATGATGGAGTACGGGACCACAATGGTGAGCTACCAGCCCTTGGGAGATAAGGTCAATTTCTTCCGCATGGTCATCTCAAACCCTGCAGCCACTCACCAAGACATTGACTTCCTGATTGAAGAAATAGAACGCCTTGGGCAAGATTTATAATAATCTAGCTTACTAAGCTGTTTCAATTCTCTAGGTAGACAATTAAGTTGTCACCAACTGTGTACATGTATTTGTAGTTTGTTCCAGAGTAAATCTATTTCTATATTGTGGTGTCAAAGTAGAGTACAGTTTAAAAATTGAAAAAAAAAAAACCAAACATTGCTCCTTTTAAAAATCCTTTCTTAAGTTTAGAATACCTCTCTAATAATTAGTGACAAAAGGCTGTGTTCTAATCAGTAAGGAAAAGCTTAAAAATTGTTACAAATACTTCCCTTACTTTTAATATAGTGTGCAAATCAAACTTTATTTTCACTTCAGAGTAGTAGGGTTGAATAGTGCCAAATTGCCCCTGAATCATAAAAGGTTCTTCGGGGTGCAGTGAAAAGGATAAAGTAAATATAAAATATACGTTGACAATAAAAAAAAAATCTTGCCTTTTTCATAGTATTAGAAAAGAAAATTTCTAATTTACCTATAGCAACATTTCAAATGTATTTAAATACATATAATTTTACAAAAGGAAAAAATATATATATTAAAAACAAATCCTATTTTGTAACATATAGATTTTTATTTTATATGGGTTATACAAACTGCCGGGACAGGTACAGAAACTAAGCCAGACTTTTTTTTTTTCCTTTCTTTTAATGGAGGCACTATAAAATATTTAGCAAAGTTATTTTGAAACAAACATAGGCCCACAAAATTCTTAAAAGATATGATGTTTTCTTTCTGTTCATTTTATGGTGTATCACATCCCTAAAGTTAGTATTACAAAGCAAACACAAAAGTATACTGCAATTTCTTTTAAATGACTGGTCAGATCAACAGTAAGATGCTCTTCCCATTTAAGGTTTTCACCCATTTGACCTTAGCAGACCCGCTCAGGGGGCAGGACAGCCCACCTCCGTCCTAGACCAAATTCGGAGACTCGTCTCTGCTCTGCTTTCCAGTTTGGCTGTTTCAAACAGCAGGTTGATGCTGCTTCTTAAGATATCTTCTCAAACAGCATTCTTTTCTTAGGTCATTTGGATTAATTAGAGAAAATAAAAATAAAATATAATTGGCCCAAGCAAAGAAGAATGAAGCACACTCCAGAACCCAGAAAATTAAACTTGGCCTTGGATCTCTGTGTGAGAATGGCGACTTCATCCTGGGTGCCATGCTGCCCCTGCCTGGGCAGAAGTCATTTCCCTCCTCATTCCAGCCTACAAAAGTCCCCCCGCTGATCTCCCCATCACTGGGATCCCAGATAGTTAATTTCTACTCCCTGGGTGGTTATTTGTCCTCTCAGGAAATGAGCTCCTCACCAGGATTTTGAGACAGCATCTTAAGATCTTCTTTCCTCTGTCTCCCATCAAGATGCAAGGTGACCAGAGGATGCGGAGACAATAATGTGCTCCTTAGAATCCAAAATAATATTTTAGAAGCATCCTTCTGCCTCTGCAAACCTGATGGAGAGACATGAGCTAACCAGAGCCCCCACAGACATGTCGGGGGCACAGACTGTCGGACTCCATATCCCCATGGGAGGGCAGGGGAGCCATGTGCGCAGACTGCAGATACGTGTTTAAGAACATTGGTCTTTTCTGTATGGACCAGTCAGATCTCTCGTCAGGAAGACTGCAGGTATCTGAGGGAAGAAAGAGGACTCCATCTCTCATAAGATAGAAAAACCCTCTGTTACAACAGCAGGGTCCGACCCCTGAAATCACCGTGAGCTCGCCCTATGATCTCTCTCCCAGGTTATACACAAAAACGTTCATACTTGAGATGAACCCAGCTTTGGGCTCTCTCTGTCTGGGAAGCAAATGGATTCCCTATGACTTGTAGAAGAAAACTCTTTATCTGTGCCCCAAAATTTCATGAAGGAATAAGCCTTTCATTCTAGACTGTGTCTAATGGCCAAGCATTCTTTTCCTTCCTTGGAATTGGCTGTTGAGAGTAAGCACACAAGTGCCCACCTATTCGTGAGCCTCAGGCCAAAAGGCCCCATCTCAGAGGCAGAGACACTGATGACCAAACCACCGTCCTGCTCAGAGGAGACTGTGGAGCCCAGTGCCCTGATCTGGACAGACCCCGTTCTACTCTGAGATGCTTCTACCTAGAGGTACAAGTTCTCTCTCAGAAGCGGCAGCTGTTTCAGTTAATTGTATGACAATTTAAAGGAGGAACATTTGTGCCTGTGTATTGACATTCCAGCAAAATCATTTTTTACCAATAGCTTGTTTCCCTGACCCCCTGCCCCAAGTGTGCTGGGAGCCTTGCTTAAGCCTATGCAGTGAAATCCTACAACCATAACCCAGGGAAGGGGGAAAATAAAAGCCTGCCAGGTCCCAGTAGCTTAATAAATACTCTTCAAAATAGGTTTGTAATCCACTCAGGAGGGAGGGAAGGAAGGAAGGAAGGGAGATTGTTTTGAACTTTAGCCCAAATTCCCAGTGCCAAAGGCCTTTATAGGGGACCATCCTTTACAAAATATTAGAAAGTTTTTGTTTTAGCTTTAATCACAGTTGACATGGTCATTTTCATTTATACAGCAATATTGTATTTATTATTTTCAAATACTTGAAAAAAAAAGTGTGATGTGTCTTCATTGGAGACATGTAAATGGCACTGACTTCCTGGACTGTCACAGGGATGTGAGGAAAGGAAAGGAAATCAACCGTGTGTGTGACTGTGTTGCCTTTATCATACTGACGGTACTGTCTTGTCACCTCAGATTGGGGTTGTGCACTTTAGATCTGAACTGTACAGTGTTGCCAATCTACATGTGTTGCTGTAAAAGCTTCTGCAGTGTATTATTGACGTGTCTTTTTCTGTGTGGTAGCTGTGCTGATGTTCCCAGAACCACACTCCCGTCTGTTCCCGAGCTCTCTCCTGCCCTCTCTCTGCTATACTGTGTGCCCTCCTCCTCAGCTGTAACAGAGAGAATGCCCTCGGCCACGCTCGCTACCGACAAATCTCCTTTGAGAATTCTGTGATTTCACAAAACATAAGGGGAATGCTACTTCGTCTCCGAGAACAGAGGAAACCAATATGGAGCACCACAAACAGCCAACATTGCAGGCACCATCCCTGCTAAGATCTGGAGTCCCTGCAACTCAGAATATGGACCAAGAAAGCACGGGTGTAAATATAGCAGCAGGACAAAGAATCCGGGAGCCTGACAGTTGGTATCATCTTGCACGTGCCCTCCTGCTGTCAAATGCTAAGTGCAAACACTGTGTATTGATTAGTTACCTGCGCCAAAATACTGTTCCCAACTGGTGTTTCTGAAAGACATCGACATCCCCCCAGCATCTCTCCGTCACTAAAGACAGAAAACAATAAAAAGTATAAACACGTGGCAACCTGTTCTTCCTACCAAATATAAACTTGTGTATGATCAAAGTATTTTATCTGTGTTGTCTCTCTAAACCCAAATAAATGTGTAACCGTGGATATATCTCTGGCTTTGTCATGTTGTGGGGCTCATTTTTAATGAATTGCCCGCATAAAATGCCCTTCCCTTGTCACAGAGCTCAGAGTGTCTCTGAATCTTTGGAAAAAAAAGCCCTTACTTTTGCAATTACTTCTTTTTTTTTTTAATTGAAGTGCAGTCAATTATAATGTGTCAATTTCTGGTGTATTGCTTCTGAAGGGTATTGTTTCACTGCTCTGATTTCTCCTTCAGTCAGATCCTTTCTTTTTTTTTTTAATGTACTTTATTACAGAAAATTCCACATACATACAAAAGTGGAGAAAACAGTACAGTAACCTTCCACAAAGGCTTCACCCAGCTTCAAAAGTTACTAATTCAGAGCCTGAATCATGTTTCATCTATCCCCCTACCCCATATCCTCCCCAACACCCAATTATTTTCATACGAATCCGTAAAAGATAAAGACTCCTTTAAAAAAAAAAGTTCTCAAAACAACGATTACAACTGAAACTCATAGTAATATTGCCATAATGAGATCAAATATCCGTCAGTGTTCTCAGTTCCTGGACTCTCAGTTCTAAAGCAAAACCCATGGCCCATGGCCTGGGTCCACGAAGCTCAGTGAGGCCCCACACACCTTTCAGGACAGCTGGGACATACTGTATACAGTTTAGGCGCAATGGTATACAACAGTGCAAACTATACACGTGCAGGCTACGTGTGGGCTGTCGTGTGTTTCCTTTGTGTCGGGTTTATTTCTGGGCCTCTGTGGATTTGGGAGGCATCACGTGTTAAGGGGATTTTCTCCCAGGCTCTCAGGGGTTAAGAATGTGGGCAGGTTAAAAGCTAGAATTGAATTTAATTGGCGGAGTATATCCCGATTTGTCTTATCAGGTCCGGGCTGCCCCTGTGGGCTGGAGATGCTCTAAAAGGTATTAGTCTGGAGTAAAGAGAGAGCACTTCAAGCAGACATGGGGGTGGGGAGGACATAAGAGAGGAAGTTTCTGGATAATTGCAATATTGCTTGTAAGGGAACCAGTGGAGAAGCCAGATGTGGCGGGAACACCTTGACATTCTGTCTTTGTTCCCTCTGTTCCCTCAGCCTGGGGAGAATCTCTTATTCCTCCTCATATCTTCATGGATGTTGTTATGACAGTGATATTCTTCACAAGGTTTTTGTGGGGGTTAAATACATCATTAGCAGTTAGCGTGGTGCTTTGTACCCAAGAGCGTTCAACAAGTCTTGTTGTAATGACAGTAACTGTACATGAATTTTATAAATCAGCTCTTGCTTAATCCTTAAACACTCTCTTGGTCATTAGTATCTGTGCATAACAGGTTCAGGCTGGAAACATCTTTTGCATATTCTTCTGCTCACCCAGTGTAAAGCATGTGCAGAGTCTGTTTCTTATCCTTCTGTGTTATCACCTCTCCTTCCTGGCCCCCCTCCAACAACACACATACCCTGACAAGATTCTCCGATTTCTCCCGTGGTCTCCTACAAGTAGAAGGCGCTCCACCCAGATCACTGGCTCTGCCCCTGGTCTGGGGTGTGACCTTAGCTACGTCCATTCCTTCAGCTGAGAAATGAGGGTGGGACTACCTCATCTCCAAGGAAGGATGTAGGTGGGAGATGGTGATTTTTTTCTGTAAGTTGCAAATCTGAGAACCACTAATTCCATCAATTCTTTCCGATTCTTCCCACCCCCAAACTCCATTTCAAGGCCCTTAGCTTTTGCTTCAAAAGACTGTGGACTGGGGCATAGTCTACATGTTGTAAGAAGCTACTCATCTTCCAGTAATATTTTCATTTTCAGATTGACACACATCCCAACTGGCATTGGATTCCTCATACCTGATTGCTTGCATTTTATTGCAGTTTATCCAGGCAGGGGCCGTCTTTGACTCCACTCTGGCCATACAAAATAACAACATTTTTTTCCCCCTGGTAACCACTGAAAGATATTAGAACCTGAAGTCTTTTGTGATATTTCACGTAAACAACAACCTTCAGAATTAGTCTTTGATGGGTGGAGAAGTTGTGACTCTGAAATAGCAAAACCATCTCTTCGTTTCAGTCTGTTGACTTCAGATGAGAGTGAGTTCTAGTCTGAGGAGCTAGCAGTTTCCCAGTCTTTAGCCAGTAGAATGGCAATTCTTTTTCTACTTCATATCTCCTAATGTTTCCTGGGCTGTGATTGAAACAAATGGACACATTTGACATTGTTTGCCTGGCATGGAAACTGACAATTCTCAGCAACATGTATCAAAATGTCTGCTTAGGAAAAAGCATCTGGTCTAAATCTGTCTTTGCTTATGTGAAGGAAGCTCTGATTAGAAATGACTCAATAAACTCAATTTTTTCTTTATTCTTGCCATCCCAGTTAAATTCTTAGTGGAAGTTTCCAGTAGCGGGTAGGGAGGGAGATGAATTTAAGGAGAGAGAGCTGACTCTATTCTAATTTTAACGTCTTCATCCCAAAAGGACATTAGAGAGGGTTGTTTTTCTTCTGGCCGTCAGTGAGCTGCAATTCCCGAATATCTGTGCAATGGGTATATGTAAGTACTTTAAGACGAAACGACTAAAGAGATTTGTTTTGACTGTAAAAACATTACCCCGATGTATACGAGATTTTTAATAGTGTCCCTATTCCCATACCTCACTTGATATTTTTTCATCTGTTAGTAGTAAAGAGATTCCAATTCTCATGCTAACCCAACCAGCATTGAAATTACCAGCCCAGTGTTTATGATAAAACAACAAACCAGAGCAGTTAATTATGAGGCCAAAGGGGACCCAAGGGTTCTGCTTCTTGCCCTTGACATCCACTGAGGCACTGAGTCCTATTAAGTTCCTTCCCAGGGACTACCATGGCCACATAAATATAATCTAATTTAGTAGGTGTTATGAGTGCTGTAATTTCAGGGAGGAGACATCCTAAAGGGCGGGGCTGGAGGTGGCCTGGACACCTGGGCTCCTGCCAGGAGAGATCAGCGCTGTTTGCTCACGTTTTCATTCCTTCAACAAGGCAGCTGCTGGAGAGACTGCCTGGCCTTGAACGCCAGCTCTGCTCTTGATTAGCTCTGAGACCCTGAGCTGATCACTTGACCTCTCTGAACCTCCGTTCTCTCATCTGTAAAGCGATGACAAAAATAGGGCTTCCTCCTAGGGTGAGAGTGAAGATTCAGATGAGAGGAGAACCCAGTGCCTGGAACACAGGGAATGTTCAGGATATGCTAATTATCTTTTGATTCTGTGCTGCTGCCTGTAAGGACCAGGCTTCCCGGCCAAAGCCCTTTATCCTACTTTAGTCACATAGACAAGATCATCTTAAACACACAGAGGACATGGCAGCAGCATCTCCCCTTAGAAAATGACATAGCCGCAGACTCAGCCTTTGCTTTTGCAGAGAAAAAAGACCCAGAAGGGCTGGGCAGGGTCACTGAGGAGAAAGGAGGAACAAGAGGAAGTAAGTTACCTCAGCTGGGATTAAACATCCAGACCAGTTTGCACCCTCTTCCTCAGGGAGCATCCTTGCCTCAGACAGGCACCCATCAGAGTCAGAGCGAATGACATGGGCCATTAGCTTTGGCTTCACTGGAATGACTAATATGGTCCCGTCCCCAAGCCCTCCCAGCTTCCATTTACACAAGGGGAATGGATCACTGGCAGCACACCACGAGGAGAAGGAGCGACTTGGTCTCCCCAAGCAGCTAAAGACTTCCCAACGCCTCAAAAAGCAAGTAGTGAAGAAGCACCGAAAGATCCACACTGAAGGTCCCCCCTGCCCAGGACCTGCTGCCACCAGTCCTGGCCTTGGAGCATGTGCACCAAAAAACACAGGCTACACGCTCTAGTGGGATTCTCTACTTAGCAACCCCTTTCCCTCTTTTGGAAAAAAGGTTTGTGGTCTTGATTACAGTGTCAGAACTGAGGTTTCTGGCTGTGGGAAAGCAATTAAAAGCTTGTTACAGTTGCCAAGGAAATGACTTTCAAGAGAAATTTTAATTTATTTAAACGCAGTAACTTTGTGAATTCCAAGAAAATTCAATTACACAAACTTGAGCAAAGGAGAGATTCAGAGTGTCTTTCGATTCAGATTTTGGTCAAGAGGAAATCCTGCTGCTAAGGCTGTTGCTTCCTCCTTACTTCCTTATATGTCTGTGTTAGGATTGGGGCGCTCAAGAGAGTAAAGAGGAGGGATTTTCTTTAGTATTTCTTTTTATTTAAGTTGTTGTACAAGGTTTCCGTTCCCTCTGTGCTGTTGAGACCTCGGCTAGAGGGAGGAAGCATTCCTCGGTGTGAGTCTCCATGACCGGCTGGGCTCGGGCTGGTTTACCTTCGCAAAAGAGCAGGTGGTTCCAGTTAATCCTTCGCGGCCAAGAAGGAAAGAGAGTTTCCTCCTTGCTGTGTAATGTGCTTGTTCAAGTTGCAAAAACAAAGCATCCGTTCACTTCACTTTTTTAAAAGGATGGATGGAGTTTCAGGTAAACGATGTTCCCTGGATGAACCGTCTATAGTTAGGCATGGGTGGGAAATTAAATTCTGGCACTGAGTGATTCTCTCTGCTCCTGTCATAACAAGCGGTAATAATTTATTATGAGAGATGATCTAGTCTAGGAGAAAATTCAATGCATGAAGGACTCCAACCCACTGACACCATTAATCTAATAATTATAGCAATATTCCACGAGGAAATCCAGGGATGGAGGAACGGGCCAAGGCCTGGCTTAATTCTTTGTCTGAGACTCCCCTGAGCCTGAGGCAGATATTCCCAAATTCCAGAAGCCCTTTCGATTCTTCCTGACTAATGACCAAATTCCCTACTCCTCAATAATATATTGTCCCTTCTCTTTATAAATTCTGAATGTCTCTTCCTCACCTGTAAAACCGGGTTGGGGATACTTATTGCAGGAGATGGAAAGGATTCGATGAGAAAATATCTGTTAAGACCCTCGGCAACATTAGGCTGCCAGTAACTGTACTTTTCTTGCCCCAACTCTGTCCTGGGACTGCCCTTCCT